GGTTTTTTGGCCCACGGGATTGAGAAAAATTGGTCAGTTAGGTCAGCCATGAATCGGTTAGCGTCTTTATTTAGCTTTAATTGCCTATTTTGAAAACCTCCCTTAATTTTATTGAGTAGTGTATAGTGCTCTTGGCACACTGCTGCACTTACCGTGTCTTCAAACGTGGTGAAACCTTAATGGCCACCTGCAGACTAACAAAAAAAAACGGATGTTGATATAACACTGAGTGGGGCGAGTTGGACATTGCCGGCGGCAGAGATCGGAGCCCTTGTGCATTTTAAATGCCGCAGGATAGTGCGCCACTGTTACCTTTGGTGAAGCCTTAATGGTCACCTGCAGACTAACAAAAAAACGGATGTTGATATAACACTGAGTGGGGCGAGCTGGGCATTGCCGGCGGCCTTTGAGCCCTTGTGCATTTTCAATGCCGCAGGATAGTACGCCACTGTTACCTTTGTTTAAGAGATTCTATTAAGCTGATTACCCTGAGGCTGAATGCTGGTTTAATTCCAGCACCGAGCCCGGACTCACACATTGTCGAATCTTCACCGATAGCTCCAAAACTGATTCTGTGTCAGGATCTGGGGTCTTTTTTGAAGTTGATAGTGATAAGCTTCACTTTTCTCTTGGGGAAAATGCTTCGGTCTTCCAGGCTGAGGTATTTGCAATCCTCAAGACCATGGACTACGTGATGGAAAATATATGTGGATGTGGATGTGATGTGTTTATTAGAAACTGTCATAAATTTCTCCCGCCAAATTAACTATCTTTTAACATGCCCTCCAAACAGTTTTATTGCTTTGAGGTTGAACTCAATTCTTTTGAAAAGAGTGCGTGCCACCACCCATCCTCGTATCCGCTTTACATTTGTACTTATCCCTACATAAATAATAATAAATCAAACATATTTGACAAAGGACTAATTTTTCGTTGGTTAATTTATTTTATCGCTTTATATTAAAAATACATTGGTGCAACATACTAAGCTTTCGAGTTAAAATTTCCAAAAAGGTGGCAACTCTCCCGAAAAATATTTCCAACAGTCATCTATCTTAAAACTCCTTAATTTAATACCTATATTTTAATAAGTCATTTATTTTATCAATTATGCAAATTGAGTTAAATTTTTAAACAGGTGGCAACTCTCCTCAAATATATTTTCGGCCGTAAACCTTAATAAGAATCTAAAGATTGTTACCGACATAGCAATATTTCATTTATTTTATCAATTTAACTGAGTTAAAATTTTCAAATAGGTGGCAGACCTCTAAAATATTTCCTACTGTCATCTTTCTATTGTAATATGTCAATTAAATTGAGTTAGATTTTCAACCAGGTGGTAACCCTCCTCAAATATATTTTCTGCTGTAGGCCTTCTTAAAACTCTTTAGCTTCGACACCCACATGGCAATACTTCATTTATTTTATCAATTTAATTGAGTTAAAATTTTCAAATAGGTGGTAACCCTCCTAAAAAATATTTCCAACAGTTA